CCATGACCGCAGGATCAGCAGGCTGCCCAGCAACCTTGGTATTTGGCACCCCAACCTATGGAGCCACCTCCTATTAAACCCATGTTTGATGGGGACCCTGAAAAGTTATCTTTCTTCCTAAATCAAGTGTGAGTCCACTTTGATTGCTATGTTTATGCCTACCCTGACAATGCTGCAATGGTGAATGCAGTGACAACAAATTTAAAAGGGGAAGCAGCTGAGTGGGTGACCAACCTTCATGATGAGGGGGCTCTGGAATTGCTAGATGTGAACCTATTCATGGAGCAATTGAGAGCAAGATTTGAGGATGAGTCCCAGGCACTGCAGGCAGAAAAAGAGATTGACCATTTAAAGTAGTGAGGACACCCAGCAAGAGAATATGTTTGGGAGTTCCAGAAGGTTGCTGGTTGGTTAGGATAGTGGTCAGAACAATCGCTCATCCACTATTTCAAGAAGGGGCTGGACCATGACCTACTCCAAACATGCATCTACTGAGGGATTCCAAATCAACTACAAAATTGGTATAGTATGAAAGCAGCTTTGGATATCGAGTTAGATTAAACCAAGAAGCCAGCTACCACCAAACCAAAGCTGAGAAATGCCTATTTGATCGACAGCCTCAGGCTACCTCTCTGAGCACTCCAAGCACCTGCCGGAGTCCTTATCAAGTGTTTTAGATGTGGGCAGCAGGGTCATCACGACACTGAGTGCCTAGCTTCGGCCCCTCAAGTCAAAACTACACCTGCTTTGACCACTAAGCCAAGAAAACCACCACGAGCAGGATGAGAGAAATCTAATTGGGCCCAGCAGGAGCAAGCCATCCAAATCTCCTCTCCATCACAGGGGAAAGCAAGAGTTCCACTGGAATGCCAGCCAGTGCCGGCACCTTATGACAGCGATGAGGAGGGCAAAGATGATCTGATGGCAAGTCGAGCCATCCCACCCTTCACTATTCCCACCAAAATTATAGTGCCAAAACCAGGGACCCAAACAGACTTAAACGTTTTGATAGACTCAGGTTGCACTAGATGCCTAATCAACCTCCCCACAGTGCTTAAGCTGGGCATTCATGGTAAATTATTGCCTCTGGCCATGAAATTTGAACAGGCAGATGGGTCTTTTATTGGAGGTTCCCCTGCAATGCACCTAACAGAGCCATTGCACCTAGAGATGTACTCTATGACACCCAATTGCCCCTGGGGTAGTTTTGAGTTCAAGGTGATGTTTGGTCTCCAGAGAGCTCTTGCCATGTTTATGCAGTTGATTAACCAAGTGCTACCTGATCACCTATACAAGGGAGTTTTAATTTACCTCAACGATATCCTTATCTACACTGAGACCATGGAGGAGCACGCCAAATTAGTTTGCGAGGTTCTCAAGAAGCTGCTGAAAGCTAGTCTTTATGCTAAGCTGTCTAAATGCAAATTTCACCAAACATGCCTCGATTACCTGGGATACCGAATCTCTAGTGAAAGAATAGAGATGGACCCTGCAGTGCTAGAATGGCAGCCCCCATGGACCCGTAAGCAGCTTCAAAGTTTTTTGAGGTTCACAACTTTTTATTGGCAGTTCATCCCCTGCTTTGCAAAAATAGCTATGCCAATTACTGAACTATTGAAGACTAAAAAAGGAGGGGGGAAGTCCTGATCTTGTCAGCCATTGCAATGGACTATGGCAGTGATGGCAAACCTTTTAGAGACCGAGTGCCCAAACTGCAACCCAAAACCCACTTATGTATTGTCGGGTACCAGGTGGCATGGCCCATTGGGTAGGTGTGGCTCATTGGGTGGGTGTGGCCCATTGGGTGGGTGTGGCTTTGATGGTAACGGCAGACTGGGTGGGACTAAAAAGTTCAATCAATCAATTCCAACTTTGTGAGATTTTTTTTCCCGTGAGAAGTTGAAATTGATTGATTGAACCTTTTTTTTTGCACACGGCGGCGGAGGCCTAAAGCGAAAAAGTTTTATAAAACCCAGCTGAAGGCATAGGACTGGGGCGATGGCGCGTGTGCCCACAGAGAGGGCTCTGAGTGCCGCCTCTGGCATGGGTGCTTTTGAGCAATTGAAAAGACTGTTCGCAGAAGAACCAGTTTTGATCCTGAGGAACAATTCATCATCCAAGCCAATGCAAGTGATGTTGCAGTGGGCACTGTTCTCCTATAGAGAAATCTTAAGGGTGATCTACAACTCTGTGCCTATACCTCAAGGAAACCTTCAAACACGGAGAGGCGGTGGGCTATTTTGGAGAAGGAGGCTTTTGCAGTAAGATGGGCACTCCTAACTTGGTGCCATTTCTTGGAAGGGAGCAAAGTGCCTTTTGAAGTGTGGACTAATCATAAAAATGTAGAGGCACTAAAAACCCCTCGAAAGTTGTCCCCTAAACAAATTTGGTGGGCACAGTATTTTAACCATTTTAATTTCACTCTCAAATACCTCCGGGGGGGGGAGAGAACTTTCTGGTGGATATATTATCTAGAATGCCCCAATATAAAAGTCCCCAGGAAGAAATTATCTATTCCACAGTCAGCTTCTCAAGTAACCACGAGGGTCAATCACAGAGGAAATCTGATGAGCCCGAGAGCCATCTAACACAAAAACTCAAAGAGGAACTAAGAATGGACCCCTGGTTCAGCAGCAATAGATCACTATTAACCTATTGGGATAACTAGCCTGGAAGAGATCTAAACTGTACCTTCCGATGTCCCTCAGAATTCAAGCCCTCCTAAAAACTTTACATTTGGTGCGGTGGCAGTTTTGGTGGCCAGGAATGAAAAAAGACATTGAAAGTTATGTAAAAAGCTATGCCACCTGTGTAGCTATGAAAAAATGCCCTGGTGAACCTCCTGATCTGTTGCAGCAGGTGGCAGATCCTTCCCAACCCTGCGAGGAGATAGCCATGGATTTTATTGTTGAGTTGCCTGAAAGTAGGGGAAGCACATTAATCTGGACTGTCATTGACCTTTTTGCAAAGCAAGTGCATTTCATCGCTTGTTTGGGACTTCCATCTGGCCAGAAACTGGCTTGGTTATTTTTAAAACACATCTATTGACTCCACGGATGCCCTGAAAAGGATTATATCATACACGGGTTCAATTTACTGCAAAATTCTGGAGGGAGTTTGTAAAACTGATTGGGTCCATCCAGGGACTTTCATCTGCTTTTCATATGAGTATGAATGGATCGGCTGAACTTGCGAATGCAATGGTAGAACAATACCTCAGATGCTATGTTAATTACCAACAGACTAATTGGGCGGACTCCTGCCTTTCGCTGAAGTAGCATACAATAATAAAGTTCACAGTAGCACTGGGCTTACTCCATTTAAGATAGCTACTGTTCGGGAGTTTGTTCCTATGCCCGAATATCTCCAGGAACCTCCTACTTCGCAGACTCTAGATCAGTGGGTGACCTCTTTGCAAAATGTTCGAGCGAACATAAAAAAAGCTTTATCCTAAATTGCTAAAATGTACAGTATAAAGAACACAACCGATAAGAAGCAGTCTTCCCAGAAGCCATTTCACATGTGGGAGAAGGTTTACCTCTCTACTAAATATTTAAGACTAAAATTACCAAGCATGAAATTGGGACCACAGTTTCTCATTCCTTTCCCTATAGTCAGAATTATAAATCTTGTCACAGTTCAGTTAAAGCTCCCAAGGCTATTAGGGAAGGTCCACCCCATTTTCCATTGCAGCTTGTTAAAACCATTCACAGAGTCATCCTTGAGGCCAATCCCTAAGAAACCATCTGGTCCCACTTTAGTAGAGGGGGAAACTCACTATGAGATAAAATGCATCATTGGCTCTAGATCATATAAGGGAAAATTACAATATTTAATGCAATGGAAAGGTTACCCCTTGTCAGAAGCTGCCTGGGTGAAATATACCAATGTGAAGGCAGACAGATTAATACAAAAGTTCTAGGACAGGCATCCTCAGAAGTCCAAGGGGGATTCCTAACCTGTACTTTTGTTTCCTTTGCAGGAATTGCTTTCTCCTTAGGACCCCCCCCCAGGACTCAATATAAGCATTCATAAGAGTGCGGCAAGCAAGTAAATGGACTCCCCAGCTAAACCATTATCCCAGGTTTCCCAGACTCCATTTTAAAAAGAACAGTTCTCTCATTTTTCTAGAAGCCAAGACAGGAGGCAAAAATAAGCACCAACTATTATTTCCAATTATTTTGAAAGTAAGAATTCTTCTTGCTTTTTAGTGTTTATACCTAATGAACAATCAGTTATACAATGATTTGCAGGCACACGGGAAGAGAATATGGTCATATTCAGTATTGAATCGGATGTAGAAGCAGACTAGTAGACAATGGAACTGTTTTTAACAAGGGAATCAAATACACCATATAATCACTGTTTTAATAGTATGAATACAGATAGTTTTCGACTTACAATCATTCATTTTACGACACTGAAAAAAGTTACTTATGATTGGTCCTCACACTTTCTCATGGTCCTGTAATCAAAATTCAGGCACTTGAATATTTACAATGGTTGCAGTATCCTGGAGTCATGTGATTGCCATCTGCAACTTTCCCAGCCAGCTTCCGACAAGCAATATCAATGGAGGAAGCTGGATTTGCTTAATAACTGCATAATCCACTTAACTGCAGTGATTTAACAACCATAGCAAAAAAGGTCATAAAATGAGGCATGATTCAATTAACAACTGCCTTGCTTAGCAATGGAAATTCTTCTCCCAGTTGTGGTAATAGGAGCTGTTGAAAGCAAAAGGCACCTCCATGTAGGACACATTAGAATGCAAGTGAGATTATGGGCATCCATGGCCTCCTTGCTGGCAGTGCCATTCAATGGCTGCCATACTCCTTGGCCTTGAGACTTTCAGTGCCCACAGAGGTGGAGGAGAGGCAAGATTTGATATTTTATAGAAAAAGTTTGGTGCTTCTTAATGTAGCATATTACATTTGTGACTCATATTGATCAGGGCCCGTGTTCATAAAATTTTAATCTACATGATATACTTTGCTTACCATGCTTTATCTAAACTTTGCTGCTTCTCCTGGAGCTCTTGCTTCAGGCTCTCCACTTCCACTTTTAGCTCAATGTTCTAAAAAAAGAACAGTGAAGAATCAACATAATTTACTGAACTGTAGTGTTGGATTTTCTGTTCTAGAAATTCAAATTCCGAAGTGAATTGCTTTTTATTTCAAACATACCTATGAAGAAATCATCCAAATCCATACAGGTGCAACTTAACTTATATTATTTACTGTGTAACCAAAAATATCTTTCCAATGCTATTCATTAAAGCATTGTAACAAACAGAGAGATGCTTCCTAAATGCAAACATTAATTTAGTGAAAAGTTACAGAAAGCCTTCCTTTGATTTTTTGGGCGAGATGGAAATCTATATAAATAAAAATGTAAATGTTCGTTTGTTCAAAATCTTAAATCTCCAAAAGTTCTTCACCGATTGCTTTGACATTTTGACACAACGTTGCATTCGAATACGCACATGTTTCTATATACCCTACTATTATATAGATGTCACACCTGTGACAGGTAAAAACATGCTTTTTTGAAAAACAGCACCATCTGTTGCTCAGGGCCAATCTTTAGAATTGTGCGGTTTAGATCTAGACACGGATTGCTTCTCACGTGGACAATTATATGTTGCATGTTCTAGAGTCGGCAAACCAGACAATCTTTATATCTGCACAGACAATGGAACAACAAAAAATATTGTATACCCACAAGCATTGTGAAATTAAACATATTACAAACGTGCGCTTTCTCTTTTCTTTCTTTTCCATTTAACCAGACTGAGCCACAGCAACGCGTGGCTGAGTACAGCTAGTAGATAATACAAAAGTATATTGCAAAAACTACAAGTCAATGTTTTCTGTTGTTCATGGTAGCCAATCAGAAACATTCAAACAAAAAAGCAAAAACAATATGCCCTAAAAATCTTTGGTTGAAACGAGAAGCAGAAATGTCATAAATTTTATGGATTTATTTTATTTTGACAGCAGGGAAGAAACAGGCAGGCTGGCAATAGAAGGAAGGAGGGGAGGAGGAAGGATGAATCCAACTGGCCCGGATGGGAGAATGATAGAGACAGAGTGCGAAGAGGTATAAGGGATGCGGGGGATGCGACTGTGGGAAGGGAGAAGAAGACCCGTGAAAGCGATAGTGGGGTGACCAAACCCAGCGGGGGCCCAGAAAAGAAAGCGAGCCAAGTGGACCCAACCAGTGCGGAGAATAGGAACATGGAATCACATACGCAAGGGGGACAGGGAATGTGGCTGAGGAGAGAGGGAAAGAAGAGTGCCACGTCCACCCCCAACCCATGGGCAAATGAGCCTGACAAGAGCAACCACATAGATAAGTCTTGCAGGATAGGGACAACCGGCGGAGGAAGGATCACCGCCAGAGCGCAGCTGATACAATCAGGACCGATAACAAGGTCCAGGGGCCGTGTGCAGGCCAAGTTTGAACTATAAAAACTCTCCCATAGACTGACCGTTTAAGCCCTGATGATGTCAGCAGGACGCTGACGAAAGCTTGGCGTTGGTATAGTAGTATTAAACTCCTAGAGTTTGATTATTTTACCCTGGTGTTTGTTTTTATTTATTTATTGGCATATATATATATAATGACTGGTAATAATGGTAAAGATTTGACCCTTGGGTGCATTCATCTCAAAACCAAAAATAACATTGACCACCAAGAGAAGGTTAAAATATTTAAAAGCATTTAAAACATTAAAAGCATTTAAAACATTTAAAATACAAGGCAACCAAGCTTTCGTTGGGCACTCCCGACATCATCAGGGTTGAAAAAGGCGGTTAAGGGTGGAACTTATATGCAGCCCTCAAGTGCCTGCATCCGGCTATGTGAACGTGTGATCGGACCCAGCTGCCTGTGCTCCTGCGCTCTGGATACATTCCTTTTACTTGTGCGTAAGCCCTTCGGACAAGTAAAAGGAATGTATATAATTAGCCACTTAGCCAATTCCGAGGTGGGGGTGCCCCTGAATGCCACGATAGGGCGGAGGGGAACGCCTGCCTTATGGATTTTAGGCAATCCATAAAACCTGGCCAACGCTGAATCGCTGGGACGTATCCTCCTCAAAACATCCTCCCCCAACCTCTTACTCCGTTTTAGGCCATCCAGCAGTTTGTTGGTATAATTCCTGAGCGTGGTCATAGGATCCTTATTGACCACCCTATATGCTGTTTTATCCTGAAGCAGTTCCAGCGTCTTATTCATATATGTCACCCTGTCCATCACAACCGTGGCCCTCCCTTTGTCCGCTGGAAGCACGACGATGGATTTGTCCCTCTTAAGTTGTTCTAGAGCCTCCATCTCCTGTTTGGACAACGTCTGGTATGGTTTGTGGTTTACCAGCAGGCCGGCAACCTGCTGCCTAAGTGCGTTCCTAGCCTCCTCCCCTCCCCTAATACGGAGCACCGTGGGCTCCAGCGCTGCTATGAAGTCCAATGCATATGCGTCCGTGAGATTATATCCCGCGTCCCTCTGCAGTAGAGCAAGCTGTGGTCTAGTAAGCGTCTTTGTAGATAGGTTGCAAACCAGTCTATCGATAAAGCCAACATCGTCCAACTCATGCAGGCCGTCAATCTTGCGTTGGAGCATCCCCCTCGTATGCTGGTTTCTCCTCCTGGAGGATTGCTGGATATGCCGGTCGAGTGCCTGAAAATGTTGGTTAGTCAGTTCTACACTGCACCTTTCCCGGCAATCTTGGGCCCACGTCTTCAAGCCGTCTATGCGCCTATGTTGGTCATTGATGAGCGCATACATGGTGCGGCGCTGGAATCGACGGACCACCTGCTGGCACTCCAAGGAATCGATGGCAGGTTTCCTCCTCAACCCCGGCACACCCGAACCATGGAGGAGATGGACATGGGGGCAAAAGGGAAGGGGCCGAAGAGGAGAACGGGGGGGGGGAGAGAAAGAAGAGGTGGGGAATACGGAGAGTGAGGAAAGAAGGGGTAGCACAACAGCGGGCAGGGGGGCAGGGGAACTAACAAAGGTGGCCACGCACGTAAAGGAGGGGAAGGGGGAACCACTGGGTTGCCCCACGGCAGCGGTGGCATCCCGACCACCCCACCCCAGCGGTTTATATACGAAGGAAGAGCAAAGGAAACTATCGAGCCGCCCCTCAGCAGTGGCGGCGGCCCGGCCACTCCACCCCACGACTCCGCTGTGCCCGAGCCAGTGCAAAGCAGGGGGCTCTCCGGGAGCCAGCGACCGGATCAAGAACGGCAGGCAGGGACATGCGAGGATACGACCCAAACAGGATGGCACCAATAGGAGGGACAGATAAGGGGGGGAGGAGAGGAGGGCCGATGAAGAGAATGGAGGGAAAGAGGAGGCGAAGAAGGAAGGCGAGCCTGGCCGGCCCAGAGGGGACGAATGGAGGAACGATAGGAGCGGTGTGCAAGGAGGTATAGGGGGCACGGGAAATGCGACTGCAAAAAGAGAGGGAGAGGCCCGTGGGAATGACAGCAAGGTGGCTAAAGCCAGCGGGGGTTCAGGAAAGGGAACGGGTATCCCGAGCCAAGTGAGTCCGACCAATGCGAGAAATAAGAACGCAGGACCACATGGGCAAGTGGGGCAGGGGACACGATTGAGGAGAGAAAAAAGGGGGCGCGTCCCATCTCGGCCCGCGAGCAAATGAGCCAGGTAGGGGCGGCCATATGGATAAGTTTTGCAGGATAGGGACGACTAGCGGAGGGAAAACCACCACCGGAGCGCAGCTGATGCAATCAGGACCGGTAACAAGGTCCAGGGGCCGTGTGCAAGCCACGTTTGACCTATAAAAGACTCTCCCATGGACTGGCTGTCTAAGCCCTGATGATAGCAGGACGCTGACGAAAGCTTGGCGTTGGTATAGCGGCATTAAACTCTTATAGTTTGATGATTTTACCCTGGTGTTCGTTTTATTTATTTATTATTGGCATATATATATATATATATATATATATATATATATATATATATATATATATATATATATATATATATATATATATATAT